GACGTGCTTTATTGATCTATTTATTATTAAACTTAATTGTCTTCCTTTGTTTATAACACGCTGCATAGCGCTGGTCGTCCTTGTGTCTCATGTGCTGTCAACAACTCTGACATAGATGATCCTGCAGGCTATGATGTCAATCTGTCCAGCATCTTCTCTCTCGTTCTCCCTCTGCCTCAATTTCCTCCCAGCTTCCCAATCGTCGTGACGTGTAATCCAAGTTTCTTCCTCTCAGGACACATCCAATGTGTGCAGACTGTCTCCTGCTGATGAGGGCAATCAGTCCTCTTCTCGGGTCTGTTTCTTTCAAGATATCTTCACTATTGTTTTATCAGTTCAAAGTGTTTATAACATTCCTCTATGAGGCCACAGCTCCGCTGTTTCAAATTTATCTTCACTGATCGTCCAATTGATCATTATTCACTTACGTATGTAAGACGATGGAGATGGCTTAGACATGTTTGCAGAATGCCTTGTGACACTCTGGCAAAAACAGCTTTCTGGTGGATAGCCGATAGGAAAAAGGAGACGTGTACGACTTAAGGAAACCTGGAGAAGAACAACAGAACATGAAATAAAGGAATGTAAACTGACACGGGATAGCATGAGCAGAAAAGCATTAGACCGGCAGCGATGGAGATCACTTGTGACTGCCATATGTGTCAAGAGTGACATGAAAAGGATTTCGATGTGAGGATAGGATTTATGTAGCTCTTGGGCATTGTCTTTCCCGTCTCACAGAACTAATTGCATAGAATCTTTTATATTTTGTAAAATTGTGCTTTTGCTTGAGCTGTTCTGCATTTAACTTCTTTAATACATTGTAGTAACGGAAACTGTAGAATCATTTAAAACGCACAATTGTTCCATTTACATATGTATAAAATGTTTACTGTTCTGCTTCCAGGTTGTCAAAGAGACATTCACTCTGAAAGCGGACTCCATGGAAACGAACTGATCACCAACACACAATGTAGACAAACTGAAATAGATTAATTGTGAAATAAACATTAATCAGCAATATTTCTGGTGTTGTATGTTAATTATGTGTTTGGTTTGTTTGTCGCTGTTGCAACAGATCTTGAAGACGCCTGTAACGGCGTTGACTTCACAAATCCTCTGCACCGAGTCAGGGACTGTGATGTGAACCTTTGGTTGGCTAACTGGAAAGGGATAGCCCTGTTGGTGAGAACTGTGGTATTTTGATTGGAAACATGGAGATCGGATCCCATACGCATTTCCCCTGACCTTCCTTACGGTTCACCATTGAAACATGTCTTGTTCAACACACATGAAGCAAGTCTGGCACACAAAAAGTTTGCTGGACCAGGGCGAACTTTGACATTTGCAGATGATGTCCTAGTGTATCCACGCCGGTCAGACACACGACATGACCAAAGACTTGCAAAGATTTTTGCGCGAGATGACAGAGTGGTTTGACCAGACAGAGTCAAGGATAAATTCAGAAAAGATCAGTGTTTTGTGGCGTTCCTTAAACAACAACATCGAAAAGGAAGACTTGCCCAACATATCCATGAAGAGTATTAATGTTGAAAAAAGAGATCAGTTGAAATACTTAGGCCTGACGTTTGATCGCAGTCTGTACTACAGGTATCAGTGGAGCAGACTGTCATCAAAGGCCTGGCGGCACCGAAGACGATGGTGGCTACACACATGGAACATAGATTTTTAGTCTTTTTTGTTCAACCATTTGGTCCTTTCTGTAATTGATTTTTTTTTAAATTATATTGTTATTATATTGGACCTTTCCGTATTTTCAAACGATAGTGCTATATTGCTATATATATATATATATATATATATATATATATATATATATATATATATATATATATATATAGTCGCTGCCGTAGCCAATTAAACAAGCCGGCTACCTTACCGACAGAGTGACAAGCTTACGGTTGGTTTATCGGACACAAGTTAGACTTTGGCAATTGGCAGAGGGACACTGAAAGACATCTATCAGACACTTTGACTTTAGAGTGATGAGAAGCTCCGATTCTCCAGGGACTCAGGACAGTCTACCGATGCCCATTTCCCACGACGTTCCGTTGCGTCCAGAGCCAACTTGAAGCTCTTTCTCCAGCTCTGCCAAGTTGTTTTATTGACCGTTAATGCTCGTTTCCTCTCAAGCCCAGCTGCTTCAGCACATTGTAAATAGAAGTGGAGATAAGACCTCATGCGCCTACCTCGATGGCGAAAATTTTTACTGAGTACGCGTCGTCTCTCCTCAGACCGGACAAGGGATCCCTGTAATTCTTGAGCTTGTACGTGTGGTTTTCGTCCATTCGCGACTCATACAGCACGGTCAGCTCAATCAGGGTGAGCTGGCGTTTTTTCGTCGAGTGTAGGACTATGTCAGGTCTCAGGCTAGTCTCTCGGATTAACTCTTGGTATCTCTCAAAACCTTATCTGCTGTATCACCATGTCTCAGCGCTCTTTGGCTGTGGCTTCGGACCCCTAACTGACCTTCCCGTTC